ATATATATATATATATATATATATATATATATATATATATATATATATATATAAGAGATATATAAGAGATTTCCACCTATATATTGACTCATCACGATATCTCTGGAACCATAAGGCGTAGAGACTTGAAATTTGGTAGGAATATTCCTTCCGCCGAGTAGAGGTCAGCTAAGAACGGATTTTACGAAATTCTACCCACAAGGGGGGTTGCGGGGGCGTCAACAATTGAAAATTCCCATTTTTAACCGATAGCTCCTATCGACTCCAAATTTAGTAGGAATCTTCTATATGTGATGTAGAAATGATCTAAGAGCGGATTTTATGACAATAAAATCTACTCCCAATATGGATTGCGGGGGTGGGCGTTAACAATGAAAATATATAATTTTCGAGCTATAGCTTCTACAGACTCCTAATTTTGTATGAATTTTCTGTAAGTGATTTAAAAATAATTTATGAACCAATTTTATGATATCCCTCCCCACAGGGGGTTGCGGGGGTGAGTGTTAACAACTAAAATTTTAAATTTTCGAGCTGTAGCTCCTATAAGCTCCAAATTTTATAAGAATCTGCTATATGCGATAAGCTGAAACTAAGGAAACGAACCAAAGTCCACGAAAGTATTTACCAGCGTTATAAATTGAAAAATAGATTAACTATCAAGTTGGAATACCAATATGAAATAATAATCTATCTATATTTCCTATATGGGGCATTCCATGCCAAATCGACCACTTTTGACACCGACCCTTTTCGATTTTTCTGAAATTTTGGTATCTTTCTCTACCCTAGCCCGTGTAAAAAAAACTTGTCATAAAGTTGTCATAAAAGTGTCCTAAATTGTGTCACGTTTAGGATCATAAGCTTATGACTCTTTTATGACAACTTCTATTTTTTTTTTTAATGAAAAAAAAAAGTTTTTTTTTAAATGTTTGTTTTTTGTTATATACCACTCTGAAAAAAAAATAGAAAGAAAAAGTTTACCACTCTGAAAATTTCAGGGAATTTGCAAAAAATACTGAAGTTTTTTATAAAAAAGAAAAATCGAAAATCAAAAATGTCAATCATCCCGAAATTTTCGTTTTTTACCAACAAGTTAAAAAAAAAACATTGAATATGAATCAAAAATGTCAATCAATCCCGAAATTTTCGTTTTTTACCAACTAAGATTCAAAAAAAAAACATTGAATATGAATCCGAATTATTATTTTTTTTTAAAGTACATTTAAAGACAAAAATTTCAAAAAAAAAAAACATCCCAAAAAGTCAATTTTCAAAAAAGTTATGGTTATTGAACAAAAAAAAAGCTGTTTTTTTGTAATAACTCGTAACTTTTTTTTGGTTCGGTAAAAAAATTTGAAAAAATTCTGAAAATTGTTTTCAATAGGGTAGAGAAAGATACCAAAATTTTAGAAAAATCGAAAAGGGTCGGCGTCAAAAGTGGTCGATTTGGCATGGAATACCCCATATATATAAGAGATTTCCACGTATATAGTCATTCATTACGATATCTCTGGAACCATAAGACCTAGAGACTTGAAATTTGGTAGGAATATTCTTTTTACCGAGTAGAGGTCAGCTATAAGAACGGATTTAACGAAATTCCACCCACAAGGGGAGGTTTCGGGGGCGTTAACAATGAAAAATTCCGATTTTTAAACTATAGCTTCTATCGACTCCAAATTTGGTAGGAATCTTCTGTAAGAGACATAGGAATAATCTATGAACGAACTTTACGATATTACATCCCACAGAGGGTTGCGGGGGTGGGTATTAACAATGAAAATTTTTAATTTTCAAGCTATAGCTCCTACAGATTCCAAATTTTATAGGAAATTTTTGTACGTGATGTAAAAATAATTTATGAACGAATTTTACGATATCCTTCCCCAAAGAGGATTGCGGGGGCGTTAATAATAAAAAATTCCCGTTTTCAAACTATAGCTCCAATAGACTCCAAATTGGATAGGAATTTTCTGTAAGAGATGGAGAAATAATATAGGAACGAATTTTAAGATAGCTTACCTCACAGGGGTTTGCGAGGGTGGGTGTTAACAATTAAAATTTTTAATTTCCAAGCTATAGCTCCTATAGACTTCAAATTTAGTAGGAATCTTCTATATGTGATATAGAAATGATCTAAGAACGAATTTTACAACGAATCACCTCCAATAAGGATGCGCATTGAAAGTTACAATGGATATTCGCTAGAATGATGACATGGATAAAAGGTACAGGCCAATCCGTTAGAGTTTGGAATCCGTGCAAGTCAAAACAATACTCAAATTGAATTTTAAGTCTAGATCTCAAAATACAATTTTATAAAGTGCCCAGCGGAGCGGGCGGGTAACAGCTAGTAATCTATATAATTAAGTCTATACATAATTAAAAGAATAAGGAAAATTTTTCTTCAGTGTATGCATATGATAAAATGAGTTTTTTTTTTAATTAAATTTAGTATACTAATGATATGTCATTAGACAGGTCTTCACCTGAATTAGTGCCTTTTTAATGCTTCATATGATTTTTAGTGATAGTTAATTCATGATGAAAACTTTTCAGATAATATTTGCTAGACTAGAATTTTTAACGGCGCGCATTCGCGCGCCCCCTATCGGAATTCTAGAATGAATTTATCCTGTTCGATTTATATCGATATATTGATATGTTCACGTACCAGGAGATTGACCAATAGTAACTGAGGAGGGTTTATATTCTACCAATAAGGAATCAGGTCCCATTTTTTCGACTATTTTTTTTTTTATTTATTTTTTTTTTTTTTTAATTTGTTTAAAGTCGCATAAACTACTAAGGTCATGAACAACTACGGTAGGGGGTAAACTTTTGAGATTGAAACTCGTTTGTATTTCTTGGGCTGAGCAGAATAATACACTTAAATATTGAAAATATTCATTGGTGTACGCCGGATTCGAACCCGGTCCAATGCTTTGGTAGCAAGGGCCGGATCCGATAGGCTACTGCGCGCCTTATTTTTCGACTATTGACTAACTTCAAACTGTCATGTATTTTTATTGTAGGGATAAAATTTGTTTATTCATTTATTTTGCTTGTACAATTGAATGTCGTTATATGTCAAATATTAATCCATATCTTTCTCAACATGAATTCATATTTGGAGATTATAAATTAAAAGAATAAGAAAAATTTTGTGACGGGCATATCTTTATCATAAAAGAGAGTTTATAATATTAAATTTGGTATTATTAGAAAGGTATTGTGTCGTTTGACATTTGTGTCGTTTTACGGTTTTGTACATAATATATTTTCGGTGAGAGTACATTTTTTGTCAGGTTTATGGAGAAATTTTCAATAGTCTGTTGGTTTTATATGTTTGTGTACATATGTGTAAAAAAACTAAATTATTTTAAATATTAATTTTTTCTAAAGCTCATCCTCGAATAATTATGAACCTATTAGAAAAACAATGGGACCGATTAATAATGTTTGCCAACAGATACTGTATTCTTTGACAATGAGGTGGTAATTGATCTCACTGGGATAAATTTTTGTTTTTTGATTGATTTGTCAATAAATTTTTTGTAAATTGTGCTAGAAATAACCACTGACAAATTATCTAAATGGTGTTCTATCTATTTTTGTGGGCTGGAAATAATGTAAACATATTATTATTATTTCTACATAAAAAAGTGCGAAAATTTTTGAAGAGTTGCGAATATCAAATGATACTTCTTTTTCTATTTACTTATAACTAAAAATATTCAATTTTTGGTAAGTAGAGGACAGAGTCTACCTCGTTTGAAATTCATGGTATCAATTTTTTTTCTTTCATTTTAACAAAAATTTTTTTCTTATTTGAACACAAGTATTGACTTCCAGTTTTAATTGCTATTTATACCTGGAAGCTCCTACGAATGAACTCGTCCTCTCCTTTACAGGTCCTACCGTAATTGTAATTTCCGCCAACATTTCCACCTGTATTACCTCCGCCGCCCAAAAATGGATTCGTTGGATTCGAGCCTGAAAGGAAAGTTAATATTAGTATACAATAAAAAAATAATTAAAGATCTGCCCTTGAAAGACTTATCAATAGTTTGAGGATTCGACACTGTTGAATTATTAGGCATCTAAAATTAAGAAACAACAGAATTTTACGTATTTTTCTTGCAATCAATTTGGTTTTAGTAAAAATAAAAAATTTTCATCGAAAAATCAAAATATATTTCTTCATAGAGGAAAAAAAACAAACTTGGAAAATTAAAAAGTGCACAGCTTAAACGTTTATACTAATTTTTTACTTCAAAAATTCATTTAGGGGAGAAATGAAAGTAAAATTTTCAAAAAATCAATTTTTTTTCATCTCATAATGTTAATATAAAATTTGAAAAATATGTCAGCGAATTTTCAAAACTTAATTCAGCGTGTTTCTAATGTTATAAATTCCAAAAAATTTTTCTGCAGTTCATTATGTCCAAGCATCATCGTAAATATAAAATGCGTTTTTCTCAGAACCATATTTTGCAAATCAACGAGCGTGATAACTTAGAAAGTTATTTTTAAATTGCGCTGAAATATCACCCAGATCATTACCTTATTCAGTAACATTTATCTTGTACAAATTTCGTGACCAAAGTACTGGAGCAAAGTTTTTTGTAACGAACCGGACAATTCTCGAGCAAAATAGTTAATAAAGATTTCGTATCCAGGCTAGCGTCAGACTTGAGCAAGATTTTAGAAACAAAGATTTCAGTAGTACTTTATCAAGTCTGTAACAAGAATTTGATAAGATATTCTTGGTTAAGAATCTTGACCTACTCTTGCGCGAAAAACGCAAGACTTCAAAAGCGCGCACGTCTCCTTTCTTTCTCACTAGAATGCCGAATATATAACACTTCAGTGGTTCTTATTTGGTATCTTGTTTACAGTTCGATCAACAAGTACGATTTATAATCTACATAGAATGAGAACCCCTACTTTTATGAGAGAACCTCAAAGTTTTGTAGTACGGAGCGTCAGATTTTTTGCCGCTTTGTTACTTAAGATTTGCCGAAGAATTTTGACGAAGCATTTCTTTGACAATTCTTGAGCAATCTTCAGTATCTTGCGTTAGAATCGTCGAAATCTGGATGCTAAGTTACTTATTTAATCAAAATTCTTGAGCCAAACGTACTTAAAGTTTGACGAAAATTGTTACGTGCATCAGTAATAGTATTGAAACGTAGGTAAATTCACCACTTTGTAAACACTTACCGCCATTGCCACCCGGTACATTAAGATTCCCTCCAGTAGTCTGATAAGTTGCACCATAACCAGGATCCTGAGCAAGCTCATGAAGTCTACTCGAGCTTAAAGCTCGTGGTATAGCATTGCTGGGTACACCATGTGGTGCCAAATGTGTTGCTTCAGCAACCTGGTGTGGATCTTCAGTCTGTGGTAAGTCCGCAACAAATCCTGTATCTTTTCTGTAGAAGTTAATGAAGATGAAGGCAGCAAGTACAAGAGCACAAATGAGACCATAGGCACGAAATGTCGCAGTTGTTCCTGTTACCCAATAAGCAATAAATCAATCAATCATTTAACTTAATTAATGCATTAACCCTCTCACGTGAAAGTCAGCCTGAATTATACTTCTGTTGGCGGGGTAAGGATAATACGTCGGATATGCCGGCATATGTCTACTACTCGATTGAATGGTATAGTGTACTCTTCTTGCCTCACGGATCAGAACAGAGAGGAGAAATGTTCAGTGACCAGAGAGGGTTAACAAATATATTACGTTTCTATAAAAGTAAATTACCGTAGCTAGCAACAAACATTCCACCGATAACAGCACCACAACCACGTCCCAAACCATGATGAAGTCCTTGCAAAACACCTTGGGCGCTAGATCGCAACTGTGGAGGAGTGTTATGAGCGATATAACTGCAGCAAGCTGCCCAAACTGCTGCATGAGTTATTCCTTGCATGAATTCAAACGGTAACACCCACCATGGGTTTTTCAACCAGGATATGTACAGAAATCGTATGATATTACCACCTAGACCAAGACAAAGCACCTGAAAATTAAGGAAAGTTCATTTTTATCTCGTGCCATTATGTTTGCAATTTATTCAGAAGCTAACCTTAACGTGTCCGATTTGGCGGATTAATTTGAAACTGAAGAAATAAGCGAAAATCTCTGAAATGTGATTGATAACTGAAGCAACTCCGAAGAGTGTCGGTGTGCCACCGTAATCTTGGAGATGCCAGAATAAAAATGTGAATATCAATCCAATTCCGAAACCCATAAACCAAGCGACGAATAAAAATGAGGCGCACTTGAGATCTTTGAACTGTTTTATAACTGTGACCCATTCTGGTATTTCTCGAGTTGTTTGAGCAAACATTTTAGTCTGTAAATAATTATCATGGTATTACTCGAGTCTGATAAGCAATCAACAGATTTTTTTTTTTTTTTTTTCAATAGTTGATACTAACTTTTCCCTCAGGTGGTTGAGGTTTTGGTAATGGTTGTGCTGATGAATCCTGTAATCCTGGAAGATTTAATTGTTGAGATAGTTGACTTTGCAGCTGCTCTTCACGAGTTGGTTCTGCCGGTTCTTTGTCCGCCTCCTGAAATGAATGAAATTCGATTAATCAATAACCTACGAGTAGAAACGTATTTTAATGAGATTGTCCAATAGTCTCTTGACCTTTTGAACAAATGAAACTAATTTCTAAAGAGACTCACAGGCTCAGTAGCAATAAACTCATATTTAAAATTTATCTGGGTAGCTGTTATTAACGCGGCACCCATTAACACGCTGAATATTGCAAAACATATTGTATAGTTTTTTTCTTTTGGCCCGGGACCACAAGGGTGTTCTGGAAACGATGTACTGTGGTCCAATGCAATACCAACGAAGAACATGGCTAATCCCCAGCCCAAACTTCCAAACATTCGCTGATGTCCGTATCTATGATTAATGTCTAGTTACATGATTGAGTTCAAGAGTTCATAAGCACTGAATGATTCATACTTTGATATTTGAAAGTACTTACCGGTCAGCATCTTCACCGAGAAGAGTAATTACGGCAGAATCCGCCAAAGTTATTGCAGGTGCGGAGAAAAATTCACCAACGATAACCAAAAGCAGCAGAAGAAAGAAGGTTTTTTGAATATCCTGTAAAAGTAGTCGTGTTAGAGAAAATGATGATCATCAAATAGACCGAAATTGTGATGCTTACCGGTAGTCGGTAGACAATTGAACTGAATTGTGGCTTAACCCAATCCTTGTTTTCTTTTTCTTCATAGTTGACAGCAAAGTTTACAGGCAAGGGACTACGACCCAAAGGCAAATGAGGAAAACGTATACTTCTGCGCCTGCGAATCAGTGGAACGTCAACTTCTTCTTCATCAGAATCCTCATCTAATTCATCATCATCGTCGTCTTCTTGTTCTTCTTCCTCGATTTCTCTTTCTCGCTGCTGTTCTTCTTCATCTTCATCTTCGTCGTTCAATTTTTCGTGCTCACCACTATCATCCGGATAGACTGGCGCTTTAGAATATTTTCTGACTTTTATGTTCACGTGATTGTCAGTCTCGTAAGGTTTGTCCTGGTTCCCAGTAAAGAAATCATCTTGTAATTCGGTTTGCCGTTTTACCATAACTTTAGGACGAACTGGTTTTGACCGAGTTTTTGATCTGGTGTGAGCTTTTTTTGGCGGCCTTGATTCGTCGAGTGGTTCATTCTTAAAAAGTTAAAAATTTTCATTAATAACACTTGTTTATCGTAGTATCTACTCTATGGTTTCTATAGTGACGCAAAAAACGTGCTATTTTTTTTTCAAATCTCCTATAAAAATATGTTACTTTATTGTGGTTTAAAAAACGCGTCTTTAAATTTGTTTAAGTAGCATGTGTTTGAAACTTTTGACATAATACATTTTTTATCAGCTACCTAAACCTTAATTTTTTTATTATTGATATTTTAATTATTTTTTTTTTCTACTCATTTTATACTCTTCTTTTAATATCAGGAATTGCTCGTTTTTTTCTTAATTTTGTACGATCTCTATAAATCAAAATTTAGACTCAAGTCTTTTAAAATATACATAACATTTGACCTAAAAAATCACAGAATGACGAGAAAAAAGATGAATGAAATAAAAGTTCAGTTTTTTATTATTTTCGATATTTAAAAAAATTTTGAACGACCCCTAAGAAATTTTTTATCGAGCTAATCTTTGAAGAATTCTTTCAAAATATGATAAACTGACATATTAGGCAGTTTTATGCGTCATCCTGCTATCAACTCAATGGCTACTTACTTTCAAAAATCGCTTGTACTCAAGAACATCAGCAGGACGATTTTGTTTTGCAATAACACGAAAATCGATTTCCTTAGCCATAGGATCGTTTTCCGGTGCATCTTGCGGGACAAATTGTTTGTACTTCAAATTAGTATTGTCACCACTACCACTAGTAGTACTACTCGCAGCGTTTGAATCTCTTCTCATTCTATTACTTCGGGTATGTAATTTCTTGATAACTTTATCATCATCAGCACTTCGTCTCAACCTTTCAAAAACTACATTAGCAGCAACTTCAAGGTTTTCTTCCTCATTGTCATGATTATTTTCCTGGTGATAATCCTTATTATCAACGGATCTTTTGCTGCGGCCAGGTACTTCAGGCACTTCCAATCTCCATGTACCATTTTTTTCAACAATACATGACGTAGCTGGAGGTTGTGCGAAACCCAGAGGTAGCGTGAATATAATCCAGCATGCCAATGACGCCAACAAAATAATTTTGCCTTTCTGCCACCTGTAAAATTTAAATGGTTCTCTGGTCGGACCCAAAGAACATGTTCCACTACTTCTACATCATTGTAACTAATTTCTAACACTCACATGCGAAGAAGAAATAGCCAACCCAGATTTTTAAACAATGAACAAAAAGAAATAGGAAAGAGGAATAGGATACTTGTTTTTCAACAAAAGTATTTCAAAGACAAACTATAATATTCTTAAAAGACTCTATATATACAGTTATTAATCGATAAAAGTGTTTAAATATAAAACTTACCTATCAGCGAGTGAACCCCAAAATGGTGCGCTTAAAAATTCGATAAATGGTCTCAATCCAATTAATAGACCACACTGTCCTGCATTCATACCCATTTGCTTAAAGTAAACACCCATGAGTGGAAATAATGATCCAAATGCCGAGTAAAAGAAAAAGTAAAATGTTTTCACAGTTAAGAGTTCTTGGTCAACAGTACCGAATAGATATTCTAAAAAATCATTTTTTCCACGTATTTTGTGTGTTGCTTCTTTAGGGGCACCATAAACCGACGGATCCACTTCACCAAGTGCTTCTGGATCAACCATTGGTCTTGCACCTGGTACTTGAGGTAATGATCTTCCTTCATTAGTTCCCATTCCGTCATTAAAACCTCGACCACCATCACCACCACCGCCACCATAATTATAGTCTTCGTGGCCAAAATTTTGCATTTTGTTTTGTTCTTTTTTTTAATTCAGAATATTTACGTCGAAATTCTTATTCCGTATACCGATACGGATTTATTTTTAAATTTAATTTTTTGTAAGTTTCAAAACTTTTACAGCGAATTTTTTTCTCAAAGGCCGTGGAAGACTTAAATGACCTCGTCACTACACAAAATCTCTTTAAGCTTTGTGTCAAATCGATGACCAAATATGCCACGGTTTTCTTTAGTCGGAAGGAAGAAATCGATAGATAAGCGTTTGCGCCGAATCGTAACTTCACCCCAACCTATCGAACGAGTGTTATACTAATTTGAATTTCATACATCAAGAGATAAAGTATACTACCGAAATAACTTACTACTGACATCTACAATTCACAAAAGCTATTGTTGATATAATAGACAGGTGGAAATTACAACTCATGACAAGTGTTTCCGCAATAATAATTATCACAAACCGATTTCCTATTATATTGATGTTTTGTACGCGTGATTGCTATTGTTCATTTAAAGTGACTTAAAATTTTCATTTGATTTTGAAATTTTTTTAATGTAACTTTTTGAATTTTTAACTTCCCGCTAAGAAAATCGAAGATTTTTAAAAATCGGGAAGTTATTGGTTTTACCCCGTTTTACAAAAATCGAGTTTTCATCAGATCTCGACGTTTGAGGGTCACAGCAAGCTTCCCTGACTATCCCCGCCGCGAGGGTGTCACTACGTCTGTGTGTGTGTGTGTGTGTGTGTGTGTGTGTGTGTGTGTGTGTGTGTGTGTGTGTGTGTGAATCGCTTATAACTTTTGAACAATTGAACCGATCGGAATCTACCAAACGGCGTTCTAAAGAGTTCCCTCAAACTTAAATTTCCTATGAATTTGAATCGATTCGGACCGATAAATTTTGAAAAATTTTGAGAAATCTCAAAAAAAAATCGGAAAAAAATTTTTTTTGAAAGTGGTTTTTTTAGAATAACTTTTAAACGGCTTCATCGATCAACTTCAAAAACTAATCCGCCCTTGAGCTTGAAAAACTACGTCAATCACCGCTAATTCGGTCAAAATCGGTTGATTCGTTCGAGAGATAGCGTGAATGAAATAAAATCGAAAAAAGTATTTTTTCGGAATTACTCCGAAATTTTTCGTTCTCTCAATTTAAACTTGAAGATTCTTTATGAAGCTTAAGAAACTGCGTCGAATGCCACCAACCGCGTGAAAATCGGTTCATTCATTCAAAAGTTATTGTGATTTGAAAATTCAAAAAATAGTGTTTTATCAAACTGCTATCAAATTTTTGAGCTCGAAGAGCTCAAAAGCATACAAAAGCTATTTTTTGAGCTCGGAGAGCTCAAAATTACACACAAATTGTATTTATGAGCTCGAAGAGCTCAAAAACGTCCGAAGTGCAATTTCAAGCGTTTAGGTATAGAGTTGGCGGGAAGTTGCAGGGATGGCCTTCAGGGTCAACCGTTTTCCTAATTTTTTTTTCTTTCATTTCTGAACTATTAAATCGAATCTTTTAAAATTTCCATCCAACAAGTTACAATCCGAAAAATCAATTGAATTTCGTAAAAACAAATTAAATTCGAAATAACTTCTGGATTTTTTAATATCTGTTTGATTATTAGATATCTAATTCGCGAAGATGTAATCTTATCTTGTACTTTAAAAACTGCATCGAATACTATTAATTCACACCTATCAGTCTCTTGTTAAAATCAAAAATAATGTATTTTTCTACCTTTACCAAAGTTCTGAAATATATAGAAAAAATACATACGGTACAGGAAAGTTCAAAGACCATTAAATGTTTATAAGTGTTACCTAAGAGCGCTCAACAACCTCCAGAAATCTGCATTACCGATAAATGTATTTCGAGCTTGAAAATAGCGGAAAATTTGATGATGGCGTAAAGTGGCCGCCGATTTCTAATAACTTATCACTAGACCAATAAAAAAATTTCAATTTTTTGATACTCAAATTTTATTCGCTTTAGTTACAAATTTTCTCTTAATATTTATCAATTACAAAAAATAACCATGTGCACGATAAAAAAAATTGCATTTTTTATTTACATGATTTACAAACAATATTTACAATTTGAAGATTGATTTAGGTAGAACATCAATAGTCGATTGAATAGATGGTGAAACTAGTGCTGAGGTAGATGATGGTGCCGATTTTGGCGGTCCTTGGAACATACATGTTTTAGCTGTTTTCAACAAACGTCCATTGTTCAGTGTACGCCAATAAATGGTTCTTGCTGCTTGTTTACCAGCTACGTAACTGACTGCACCACCAATCAGCATCTGAAATCGTTGAAAAAACTTTTAGAATTTCAGAAAGATTATAGAATAAGGAGGAAAAAATATTCAAAGCAAAAATAGTTTAACTTTACACGATTCTTATTATTCAGGTTTTTTTGTCACTCTTGTGAAGAAGTTAGCTTATATACTAATAAAAAAGTAGCTCTCCGAGCTCAAAAATTCAAAAGTTATATAAAAAAAAACGATAATTATGAAATTTTTAAATGGCTATAATTTTCGAAGGCGTCATTTGATTTTGACTTACTTGACGGCATTCAACCCAATTTTGTAATTAAAAAAGCGTATGTGAATACATAAGTTGATTAGTCAAATATTTTGAGAGTTATTTCGAAAAAACTTAAAAAAAATTTTTTTTTTTGTTTTAATTTTTTGAATGTCTTTGAAACGGCTCAACTGATTGGCTTCAATATCTTATCAGCTCGAAGTCTCAATGAATACTCTCAAACGTCGTTCATTTCGATCGGTTGATTCGTTATCAAAATATCGTACGACAAAATTTTATTTACATATATATACATACACACATATACGGTTGGATATCCAACCAGAAATCGGACCTAAATCTCAAAATCGGACCTAAATCTATAACTTTCTTCTTTTAGAAATTATGAATTTACAAAGCGGGAAATTAAAAAATTTCAAATACGTTTATCTTAAAACTATGTTTTTTTAGTTGACGTACATGATATTTTCGGAACCACTGATCCAATCTTAATTAAATTTAAACCATATATTCTACATAGTAGTAAGTTATTTGATTTTCACTATTTTTTAGGACTAAAAACTGTGAAAAAAAGCCTCATTTTTAAGTTTTTTTTTTTAATGTTCGTCATTTTGTTATTTATCAATTAATATTAATCTCCGTATAGCGATTTAATTTAAATAGAAAGGTTTTTTTATTATTTAATTTCTCTGATTTGAAATTAGGTTGCAAAGTAAATTACTTACCTTGATTTTCAAACAACAAAAAACGTATGACTTCGGAACGTTTAATGATGATGATGATGATTAAGAGAGCCCGCGACTTTCCATTTGCACAATATTGTTGCGACTGATGATTAAAGTTTGTTGCACAGTTAATTTATAGATAAATCCACGCGCGTTACAACGCAATGATTTGAAGAAATTGATAAGAACGTAACTTGGTTACTTAGATTTCAATTGCAAATAAAACTTAATTGTTAATCAATAATCACACTCAAGTAGCATAATTTTATATAAAAATTGTTTTTATTAAGTATCATTGTTCTACAATTTTTCTATCATGAATCATTGAAACTTTTAATCTATTTTAACTCTACTATTTCATCAGAATAGGTTAGAACTCTATCACTTTTTAATCAATAATACCGCATACTCTTATTCGTCATGCATGTACTCACAAATCGCGCAGTTCTCCCGTCATTGTAATGATAAGAATAAACATGCATTTATTAAATGGTGATAAAAAATTACATTCAACTGTAAGCTTTTGATATTTTTAGAATGTAATGATAATAATTATTATTAGTAGTAACATTCATTTTTAATATCGATGAGCTAATAATATATTAATTACCGTTATATGTTGGTTGTTTAATACAAAAAAAACTTTATAGTTTAGACTAATAACTTTTAATTAATAATTCTTAAGTTAAGCTGCATATTAAATTTAAATCAGTTTGGCTTTCTTCAAAAACGTTTTTTGAATAAAGTTGATCCAATTCGAATTTCAAATCTATATATATTGAACGTTATACTGTGAGCGGGAAATTTGAAACTATACAGCTGTATAGTTCCCTAGGAAATGATCTTCTGTCATATTTATTAGTATATTACACACCGAGGGAAGTAAAGTAAGAAATGTCTCAGATCACATGTAATTGTTGGCCGAGGCGAAGCCGAGGTCAACAAACATGTGATCTGAGGCTTTCTTATTTACTTCCCGAGGAGTGTATGCTATTTTTTTGCTCGACGAAGGCAGAAAGTGGCAATTTCATTTAGCGCAGCGGCCCGAAATTTGACGCTTTCTGCCCGTCGAGCAAAAAAATTTATAAAATTTATGAGGAGCTTAGGTAATCTTTTTGGATCAAATTCAATAAACCAATCAATTAAAGTTATTAAATTATACAAGCCATTCATTTATTGCTAAGGATATTAGTTCGATGATTTTTATCATTAACTTAAAATTAAATACTATATAATATACTAGTATTGAAATCTTATCTTTTTTTGTCATTTTTTTGCTCAATAATAATAAACATCACTGCGGAATTACCTATGAGTTGCCATTAAATGTTTAAAATTATATTTTCTTACGGCTAAAATATATTCATAAAATATGTGGAAAAATATTGAATCTAAAAAATACGCGTCATTTTCCCACAGAAAAAATTTTAGGTACGATCAGATATAATATTTAGGCTTATAAAATAGGCAGATATAATTTATGTTTCTTCGTTTTTTTTTTCTGGCTATGTCTCTAACTCATTAATAAAATTATAGGAACATAAAAAATAAATAGTTTTTTCTGCCTTTATTGAAAGCTCAAAAAAATATTCAATTTAAGGAATAAATCATGCTTCTCTTTAATTCTTTTCAATGAATTAAGGGGGTATTCTGGTCTAGAAATTTGAAAAATTCGAATTATTTTTTTTCGCATATCTGCAAAGTTTAGACCCTTAAAAATATGTCCTTGAGTGGATTTTTAAAAATCCGAATTATTTTCGGAGATACCGAGGATTTTGTGACGCAGCTGCTTCTGCTTCTGCTTCTTCAATAGAAGGCAGAACAGCTCGATTAGCAGAAAGAACTTCGCAAAACATCGAGTAGGAAGTAGAAGAAGGCTCAATTTACGGATCTGGGATTCGCGATTAATCCAAAGTGAATATTAAATATTATTATGAGTTATTTTACTGAAATCGTTTCTAAAACTTTAAACGCGATTCTCTCGAAACTACTTTTTTTAAAGTGATTGACATGATATCTTAAGTTCTACCCCACCGATTCCTTTGAAATTTAGTGGGAATTTGTTTTATATATCTCTCTATCGCGTCTGCTATGAATTTCAAAAAATTTCAATTT